GGTAGAGGGGCGAAAGGGGAAGTAAGTATATATGTATATACTATTATATCTTACAAGATTTCAGATGTAAATGCTCATTATTTCTTTTACGAATTTCAAGTGTATTGGATACTTTGTCATCATTTGTTTATAGCACCCTGAAAGCGTTTGATTTCTCACACATTTTTTTGAGCCTACAAGTTCAAACAAACAAACCAAAATAAGAATACAAAGACATCAGATCTTTTTCTTTAGAAGACCTGCACTTTGTCTTGCTGTCATTCAGATATTTCTATCTAGTTCCCCATTACTTTCGGATGCATAGCCTTATACACTTCTTTTTGGTTATGGTTCTTATATTTGTCATTAACTTTCCACTTGAGTTGATTCAAGCCAAGCATCCATTTAACTGGTATCCTGATTTTGTTTTCTGAAAACAATGAATGATAATGCAGATCTTGAACTTACTTCAAATGAGCGTCATAAAGTAGAGTCATATTGAAGAAGTCCATTGTTCATTCTGAGAATACATTTGCAGTGAGTATGTTCTTTCACACAGTTATGAGTAGTTAAGTAAGTCAAGTAGTTAAACTCAACTTTAGGTCTTTAATTCCTGATAAGATGTTAAAATACACTCAGAACATTTAAGAAGTATTTTCAAAAAAACAAAAAATAAATAATGTTTTGAGATGCTCTAAAGACAAGTAGGGACCTGCTGGATCCCAAGACAACAAAAGAGGTGAGGCAGTTTCTGGGGCTGGCCGGTTATTACCACAGGTTTGTACCTAACTTTGTGGAACTGACCAGCCCTCTGACCACCTTCACATGGAGGGCTGCCCCGAATCTAGTTTAGGGTACAGAACAGTGTCCCCTAAACTGTTCTCCATAGTGATGCCTTGAGCATAGGGCTAAGGCCATTTTGTTCCAGCTGATAAAGGAGGGGTGTACATCAGTCAAACATTATTAGAGCATTAGAATGGCTACAGTAGCTTAAGCTCCCTGGTGGTGAAGTGTGGCTTGTGGCTCAGCTGCAGGGGAGAGGTATTGTAGCGAGTTTTGGGGTCAGTGGCAGGGCAGGCTAGCTGGCACAGGTCAGGTCTTTTCCATATTTAAAGCAGTAGCAAGCTGGGATGGGTGTGGGTGGGGAGAGAGAGAAGACTGAACAGAGTGATTGGATCTATATCAGGGGTGGGCAATCTCAGTCCACGAGGGCCGGTGTCCCTGCAGGTTTTAGATGTGTCCTTGAACCAACACAGCTGATTTAAATGGCTAAATTACCTCCTCAACATGTCCTGAAATTCTCCAGAGGCCTGGTAACGAACTAATCATGTGATTCAGGTGTGTTGACCCAAGGTGAGATCTAAAACCTGCAGGGACACCGGCCCTCGTGGACTGAGATTGCCCACCCCTGAGCTATATGAAAGCAGCACGACAGTAATCAGTCAAACTACGCAATAACAAGGTCACGTGTTGGCCAGCAAACACTGTGTCTGCAGCATCATGCTGGAGTTTCCTGTAGCTTGAGACATGCTACAATGAACCATCGTGAAAATCTCAGAGAAATACATTCAGCAGCTTGCTGCATCTACATTATAAGTAACTAAAGTATCCTGTGAGCGTAGAGTCTATGCTGTGCAGCAGTGATGTGACCATGAGACCAAGAAGAAGAAGAAACAAATAATAACAGTAGTGAAAATGATAATATTAAACTTTGTGACACATTAGGTAAAAACCAGCAGTCATTTTGTGAAGGTGTCAATTTGTGTCACTGCATGCTTCGTTGTTCTTTGAAGTATTTTTTGTCTGTCTAGATGTTGAACAGACTCCTGATAACGATCTCACTTGGGCACGTACAGGAAGTGAATTCTGCATTTCTGTTTTGTGCTCTTCTTTATCAGACTGCTGACAGTGAGACAGATTGTTCATTTCTACATATCTAATAGGATAACAACAGTAAAACCGAAAAAAGCAGCTGAAGTGCAATTCCTGACTTCACGTGGTTGGAAAAGACACCACTGAGATATGTTGGGTGAATACATTTTAACAGTAATACAGAAATCCTAATGTTGCAACTGAAATTATACCATAATTCATGTTTTCTGTTTTATATCGTCTAAAGATCTTTTGATTTTAACATCTTTTGTGAAAAGTAAAAAGATACGCACTGCCACAATCGCTTTGAAGGTGTCCTTTATATCTGCTAACATCTACAATCATCTCACCCGCAAACATGTATTTTTTGAAGCTACTCAATATATGAATACTATTTTAATAAGATAGTTGTCAAGTTACATAATATCATGGTATGCAAAAAGAAAAAAAAGATCTGTGTGGAAAATCATTGAAAAGGAGACCGAAAGAAATATTGCACCAGCATTACAGCCTATTCACCTTCATGGTTGTCATGACGCTGGATTGCTACACGATTATTGTGCACGTTCACAGGGTTCGCACAATGAGGGCTTCCATCATTCTGACCGTGCTCGTTTGGATCCTGAGCTTGTTTGTGTCTCTGCCAGATTTTATCTTCAGAAAGGCAAAAGAACCGGAATCCCAAGGAGTGGAGTGTGACTATCCTGAAGAAAGCGTTATGATATGGGAGCGTTATAATTTGTTCACCACAAATGTGCTGAGTCTCGTGATTCCCTTGCTGGCTGGTAAACATGAGGACTGCAAAGAAGATTGTCAAGCTGATCATCTGTATAGTGGTTGTATTTTTCCTACTCTGGGCCCCATATAACATTTCCCTAAAGCGCTATACAAATACAGGCCATTTACCATTTTCCTGAAGTTCCTTCGGGAAAGAGAAATAATCCTCAATGATGAAACCTGGTCCAAAAATGTAAGGCTGTCGATAACAGTAACTGAGACCTTAGCTTATACTCACTGCTGAGCCTTGCAGCTGCTGAAGAAGTTGGTGCCATACAGGCCATTTACCATTTAAAAGGATAGAAGGTTGGAGGGCTGGTGAGTTTTTTGACATGCATTTATCACGCTTGGAAAAAACAACAAACAAGCTCTTCACCTGATAACATTTTTTACTTTCTTTTTTCTGCCTCTTATTTGTACAAAAATGTCACTTCTCAGAAAACACCTTGTTGTGGGTAAATTAAATTGAAGCATAAGCAGCAACAGTAGAAGTCATTGCATAAAATCAACCTAATCTTTCTTTAAAAACAAGAATGAGTCTTTCAGAAGAAAAGATGGAGAGGGCTTTCTCATAGGAATAAAAATTTAAACAGTTCAGCAATCTGAACATAATGTTCGTTTTTTGTAAGATTCAAATAATTTGAGGATTATATATTTTTCATGTACAGTATGTTAATATAGATTCAAAAATTACAAGTGACAGCTCCAAAGTGTGTCACACCCAAATACAAGTTTAAACTATTCCATGCAAAGAAAAGTTATACATTTACTGCACGCATCAATAAACTTGCCCGTTCAACTGCACATGAACACAAATATTTAATCAGCCAATCACATGGCAGCAACTCAGAGCATTTAGACCTGCAGACATGGTCAAGTCAACCTGCTGAAGTTTAAAGCGAGCATCATAATAGGGAAGGAAGTGGATTTCAGTTAAAGTTACAATGAACATGATGTGATTATTTGTGCCAGAGGGGCTGATTTGAATATTTAAGTGCGCAACCATCTCTAGTGTTTACAGAAAATGGTCCAGAAAAGAAACAATATACAGCCAGTTATCGTTGAGCTGGTACGATTGCAACATTAACTCAAATAAAAACTTGTTACAACCAGAGAT